CACGTGATGAATTGGGCCTAGCCAGCAAAGATAGTTGGGCAGCTCAGCGGAGGATATCAATTTGGGTTGTAAATGATCGGAATAGAAATGAATTTGCGGAGACCCTAAATCAGATCGGTAGTATGTATCGAGTGTTTCTGCCTCGTTAATTAAACAGTGGGCGCCGCGTTGTTGATCCCCCGCTTTACAGTTTGCGACTGGATCGGAAATTGAGGCGCCCCGAGGGTCCGTTTTATCCACAGAGCGATGATGATATAAATCCGTTTAGGCTGCCAAGGTAGAACCACTACTATCTAATAATACTAATAATAACTAGTTATCGAATTTCCCATCCTCGTGTGCCCTTGCCCCGTCTGGCATGAAATGAGGAGAGGAGCAACCAACAACATCATAGTCTTCACAACGGAACCCCGTCTGGGCCCTCCTCATTAATTTCTCAGCACATGCATGCTTGTTCGTCTATTCGACGCCGTCTACTCCTTTCTTCGGCCAACTCCGTTCATTTCCGCTCATACTCCCTGCCATTATTACTACCCGTTGGAGGCGTATCGAAGCCTTGTTCACCTTCAGGCTCCTTAGCTGGACGATCGATCTTTACTGTACCACCATCGCGGAACAACCCTCCGAGGAAGGCTTCATCATTTTGGACCGTCACATTCGCTCTCGCTGTCATTTGCGGAGGAGTTTGGTTACAGGATAAACGCTTTCATCCCAAGAACGACGCACCTTCTCGATCATTTTCGCAGAATTCCCAGCCTCAACAGGACCCATTCCTCGGTGTCATCGATACTCTTAAAACAATGCCTACCGAATTGCCTCCCGGAACCGTGGGGAATCTCACGGCAGAGCAGGAAGCAAAACTGCAGGAATTCTGGGTGCTGCTCCTGAAGGTCTTTGGCGTCAAACTTGATGGGCTGGAGTCAACTGAGGAAGCGCCGGCCAGCCCGGCGAAGGAGAACAAGAAAGAGTCCAAACGCCGATTCGGACTGTTCGGCAAAAGCAAGGATAATGAAGATGGCGCCGCGAGCGAGAAATCAGCAAACGGAATCACAAATAACCTCGCGTCTATCAATATCACTGATGGGGACGATAAGTATGGACAGTCGAAGGAGTTCCAGCAAGCTCTGGTTGACATGTCGCCGGAGGAGATTCGGACGACGTTCTGGAGTATGGTCAAGCAAGATAATCCCGATTCTCTGCTTTTACGCTTCCTGCGGGCGCGCAAGTGGGATGTCAAAAAAGCTCTCGTCATGTTTATCTCTACTATCCGCTGGAGGTTGATGGATGTTAAGGTGGATGACGATATCATGAAGAATGGCGAGCAGCATGCTCTCAAACAGTCGCAGAGTTCCGATCCTACTGAAAAGAAAGCCGGTGAAGATTTCTTGATGCAAATGCGCTTGGGAAAGAGTTTCCTCCACGGTGTCGACAAATCAGGCCGGCCAATTTGCGTCGTCAGGGTGCGCCTGCATAAGGCTGGTGATCAAAGTCAAGAGGCCTTGGACCGCTTCACTGTTTACACGATTGAATCGGCGCGCATGTTGCTTGCGCCTCCCGTCGAAACAGCTGTGAGTCTCAAATTCCAGGCAAAAGCCGCAGAGATGCACCTGACACATTCTAGTGTATCATTTTCGATATGACTGACTTCTCATTGGCGAATATGGTATGCCCACGATCTTCTATTGTCATATACGTTCACTGACCTCGGCAGGACTACTCTCCGGTCAAATTCATGATCAAGTGCTTCGAGGCCAACTATCCTGAATCTTTAGGGGTGGTGCTCATTCACAAGGCGCCTTGGATCTTCTCGGGTTAGTTTTCGACTTAAATTGAAAGCCGTATGTACTGAAACCATTTTGCACAGGCATCTGGAACATCATCAAAGGATGGCTTGATCCGGTCGTTGCTGCCAAGATCCAGTTCACTAAGAATGTCAAGGATCTAGAGGAGTTCATTCCTCGAGATCGCATCATGAAGGAGCTTGAGGGTGATGAGAACTGGGAGTACAAGTACGTGGAATGCGAACCGGACGAAAATAAGACCATGGAAGACACTGCCAAACGAGACCAGCTGCTAGCAGAGCGACGTGAACTCGCGAAAGAACTCCAAGATGCCACCATTTCATGGATCTCGGCCAGCTCTAAGGCAGACAAGGATGCTGTGGCAACAGCTAAGGACAAGAGAAAGGACCTCATTGAGCGGTTGAGGGTGCAATACTGGCAGCTTGATCCTTACGTACGTGCCAGATCCCTGTACGATCGCTTGAATGTGATCCAAGGTAATGGTAAAATCGACTTCTATTCAGCGGAGAGCAAGTCGAAGGGGAATGCGGCCAGCAGCCAATAATCCGGAATGTTAGGAGTTGATGAGACTGAGTACTATAGGCCTGACTTATCCTCACCTTTTGGACATCGACGGGCTCAAAAAAAGGGTCATGACGTTTGTACTGGACGACAGTATGTATATATAGAGCATCGCAGTCTATACTAAGGCATCAATCCCGTATACACGGTCTTGACTTTCTTACTGAATGGTGTAAGAGAGAATTTGAAATTGGCATTGATTCTGACACAATCCATTCTCGACAGGAACTGAAGGACCACGCTAACTTCACGTATTGAGCCAAGTACAGCGACTTTTGGAGTGAAAGCGTCGTTTTACATCTTGGACTTGATTTCCTCATGCAGAGCCTTGAGCTTATCCATGTCGGTAGGCTGGGAAGGCCATCCGATACCAAGACCCTCTGTCTCATTTGGCTTGGGAATCTGTAAATCCGCAAGTTAGCACCATATCAACCTACCCCAGGAGGAACCCTAAAGACGTACCATGTGGAAGTGGACCTAATCAGATAGAAAAGCAAGAGTTAGCGCTATGTTTTCATTATACACGCCCAGGAACAGTCTCTTACATGGTCGACAACTTGGTGAGCAATGCGGCCGTTGTTCTGCAGGATGTTGAAATCTTCTGCGCCGCTTGCTTTGGCAATCTGCTTGGCCACGGGCTATATTGGAGATAACAGTTGTCAGCCTTCTCCTAGATAATGAGAATAGGATTAGGTAGGGACCCTGTAACCTGCGAGGGACAAAGTTCAGAGTCCGTGGACCTTATCCCCCAAGGTCCTCAGGGATGTGCAAAGGTTATAGAAGAGCGGGTGATACGGGATTCTGCTTGCGTCTTCCTTCGACTTTCACGTACCAGGACTTCCTTGAGGTCTTCATCGGGGATGTCGGTGAGCTTCGCACCGTGGAACTTGGGGATCACGAGCTATTACAGACGATTCATCATTACTGTTAGCGGACTTATGCTTTTCTCAACATTGACAGCATGGCGCCAATATGTTTAGAAAACGGCTGCATGAAATATTATATGCCTGGATAGGATCGAAATCTCGGGGGGTTTATGCTGCAGTGCAACATATAGGCACCAAAACTTACCGCATGGCCACGGCTGAGAGGCTGGATGTCAAGAAAAGCGAAGACCTTGTCACTCTCGAAGAGCTTGAAAGAAGGGATATCACCTATGTTTCATAAAAAAGCTTAGCGCCGTCAAGCAGAGGTGTGTACGGCGTCAACGGAAGCTTTTCTGGCGAAAGTTGGAGACGCAACAGCTCGCTGGCAGGAGATAGGACTCACCCTTGATGATTTTGCAGAATATACACGCAGCAGAAGACATTATGTAGACAAGGTGTGGAGGAACTAGACGACTATACAGGTAAATAGGTGAAGTATCGTATCGATTGACAACAGACAATAATCAATCGTGAAGTCAATGAACTGTTTCAAGATGCGGGCAGGTGGATTGGATGCGGGGTAGGCGGCGTCAGTCAAAGAACCGAAAAGGACGGAGAGAGCCGGACTCGAACGGAGGCCCTTTCTGTAATTGAGAGTGGGTTATATTTTAAATAAGGGAGACCACTGCGAGGAGTGGGACAAGCTAGCTCAGAACCCATTTCTTGCCTTTTACCAGAGATGGCCGTGGCTTGCCCAACATACTCCTCTTCTCAATCTTTGGAAACCTTCCATCGACACAGCTGTCGATTTTGTTATTTTTATTTTTGCGCAGATTTGAATTGACGCACTTTTTGAATTGCCCTGTCCTTTTTTTTACAGAATTCTAGCCCAGAGTATGCCTCATATCGTTGCAGGAACGATACGAAGTGCGTGCCCTTTTACTGGTAAGCCCCGTGGCTATAGCCACTGCGAGCGTGCTCCAACTCTGCCTTTGTCAATGCCTACTTGCAACTCTTGACGCTTGGTTTTCGAGATCATCGTGGCTTGTCATGTCGATAAGCTGCACCGAAGCGAAATCCATGAGTTAGGGGAGGAACCCGGATCCTACTTGGCCAAATGCCAACAGGGCTTATGATGCTCAAAGTTGACCATCTCCCACTGATCAAGGCAGTATCACTTGATGGGCTTGTGAAGCCCATCATATTTAAAGTCTTCAACTAAGATATCCCCTCAAATGTCCCTCTTTAAACCCGTTCTCATTGCTTATGATCGTGCTCAAGCCAGTTTGTTCATACTTTATCAAAAGCATCTAGAGGGAATCTCACTACTCTTTCCAAGACAGGCTCCGCCAGTCGCATGCCTAAGTTGCGCAAAAGCTACCCCAAATCTTCGGAGTTGGAGAAGCAGCCTATCCTGATGGACGGGCAAAAGTCCGCTTCTCGACGGCTTGCAACCATCCAATCGACAAGAATTGAACTCAATGAGATCCCTGAGACCCGCATTGATAGGCATGACCCCACCTCGAGCAGTCATCTTATCACTGCTTTCTCCGCAGGGCTTCCTTATCAAGCGGTCGTTCTTCATACCAAGGACTCGTAGATAAATTGCCATTGTTCCTTCATTGAAAGGCGTCATGGCACTTGCTTAGATTTCTAGGATTGCAGCTTCACCAGCTGTCTGACTACCTTTCAGGCCAGGAGTACCTTCACATTCCGTGAAATTTGCCTTCATACGATCTCAACGTCTTTCTCGTTCTCAAGGAGCCAAGCCATGTTATCCACGGAATTGAGCGAAGCTCAGGTCGCGGCTTTGCGAGCGAACAAGGATCGTCTTGCGAAAGACCTTCATCACAGTTGTCAATGGGGCTATGGTATCCGATGGGGAGAGTAAGCATGGCATCCCGCATTCTTTGTTAAACTGGGCCGGTGCTATTCGTAATCTTGGGTTGGCGAGCCAACAACGGAGCTCCGCCATGATACACTGGTCCCATGTGTAGTCCAACCGGGGCAGTGCTGACCGATGTCTGGCTTAGTGGACCGACAGATACCGGTATGCAGCGTCTCGCCCTGTCCGAGGAGGACAAGAGAGTGAGGGATTGGTTCATTGAAACAACAAAGGCACTGAACTGCAACATCACCATTGACGAGATGGGCAATATCTTCGCTGTACGCCCGGGCCGTCGAAAGGATGTGCCTGCCACGTTCATCGGCAGCCATCTGGACACTCAGCCGACTGGTGGTCGATATGACGGGATTCTCGGGATTCTCGCGGGCATTGAAGCTTTGAAGGTCATTGACGAGATGGGAATCGAGACAGAGGGAGGTATAGGCGTTGTCAACTGGACAAAGTAAGAGCCCTTTTCCAAATGACGTGCGCAGAGTCCTGCCGCAGACAATATAGTAACATTTTCACAGCGAGGAGGGTGCTCGATTCCCAGTTAGCATGATTTCTTCCGGTGTGTGGGCGGAGTGCATACCTCTTTCGAGGGCCCATGACCTCAAGGAAGTTCCTACGGTGGCTTCACTACCCACCGCAGCTTCCTCTCCCGAGTCGATGAAATCCGCCCTGGAGAAGATCAACTACCTTGGGAGTGTCCCATGCTCGTACAAAGAGACGCCAATGGCAGCGCACTTCGAACTTCACATCGAACAGGGACCCCATCTCGAGTCTGCCAACCAGCGTGTCGGTGTAGTCACTGCCGTCCAGGCATACCGCTGGTACCGCCTGAACATCATCGGTAGAGACACCTATACTGGTACTACAGCCTTTCAGCACCGGGCAGATGCCCTATACGCTTTTGCCTGCATGATGGTTCGCGCTAGGGAAGTTGCGTCATCTCACGGTTGTTTGGCAAGTGTTGGTATTATCGAGGCGAAGCCTGGTAGCGTCAACACCGTGCCAGGGCTTGTAAGCTTCTCCCTCGACATTCGCGGGCCAGAGACCGGATTAGTCGCCATCGTGGAAGCAGAATTGAGGAAGGATTTCGATGCAATCGCCGCCGAGGAAGGTAAAGGTATTGGAAAGCCATGTCGAGTGGAGTGGACCGTGGATTTCGACTCCCCAGCGGTGAAATTTCACCCGGACTGCATTGAATGTGTTCAACAATCAGCGGAAGCCGTCGTTGCTGACACTGGTGTCTCTGAGCCCAAGTCTCTTGTGCGGACTATCATGAGCGGTGCAGGGCATGACAGTGTTTTTACCTCCAAAAGGGTTCCCACGAGTATGATTTTTGTGCCGTGCAAGGACGGATTAAGCCATCATCCTGAGGAGTTTTGCTCTGCAGACGACTGTGCCACAGGCGCATCAGTCATTCTGCAGGCAGTAATCCGGTATGACCGGAGGAGATTCTCTACTTAGGAATCGTGCTTGTCGTAAGATATCAAGAATCAAGCTGTTCATATCGTTCTCTCTGATCAAGTGTCATATCGATAAAAACAAGGCAGGGTCGATTGAGCACTTCCCGTGTGCAATTCAAGTGCTGGAATCTTGCCGTCGGAATCAACAAATCTACAAGTAGCACAGACTGATCGGACCGAGTCATGATGATTTTGCCATTAATCCTAGCTAGTTCGTAACAAGAGGCATTGGCAGTACATAATCCTCATTTCCCAGTGAGAAAGAGTTGTCCTAATTTTTTTTCATAGGATGAGCAGCGGTGCAGCTTTTTCTGACCTTCAGAGCCTACTCAAGCCACACTTGCAGCATCCATCAACCCTTGGATGACCGAGAGACGAACAACCTTCCTTTACGAAGAGGGGGCACCACGGCCACGGCCGAAGCCACCGCGGAAGCTGGGGGCGAACTCGCCGGGGGCACCACCCTCCTTGGACTCCTGCTCACGGCGACGGTAGCCACCCTCACGGGGGGCACGAGGGCGACGCTCGCGCTCCTCACCACCCATCATGCCGCGAGGGGGAGCGTGAGAACGCTGCTGCTTGATGTGGGTAGCAGGAACAACCTCAGCGGGAAGGTGGAGCCACTCGCGGAGGTAGTCAAGACCCTGGATGAAACAAATCAGATGCGGCTCAACTCATCAGAGGTCGACAGTAAACCTACCTCAGGGGTGAGGGTGTAGTAGTAGTACTGCCACGAGAACTGGGTCTTGACATAGCCGCGGGAGTTCAGGGACTGGCAGGCCTTGATCACCTATAGTAGCAGAAACACATATGTCAGACACAATTGTTCATCTTCGATATTCTTCAAAGGTGATGGGGCCGACTCACGTAGAGGTTCTTGGTGTCAATGTCGCCATGCTTGGGAAGGTTGAAGTCCTTCTTGGCCACGAGCACACCCTCTGTTCAATAAGAAGCACCAAGTCAGTGAGGGTTCATCCTCAATTCGAGCGAACAATTTGCGCTGCGAAAGCCGCACGACTGGGAGTCGACGTTAACATACCGCGGAAGAGGTACTCGTGGATCTTCTTGCGGTCTTCCTTGGGGATAAGCCTGCAGTAACATTAGTACGAATGCGAAATCAATGCATGAAAGTCATAAGGCTAAACGTAGCACTTACATTGTCGCGAGTTCCAGGCGCTATTCGGGGAATCGCTCTGACAACGCGAGGAGAATGGTTTATATGATGGAAGTGATCGAGTGGAGCGGCAGCCCAGCTTAAAAGTGCGACGCTTCCTGTTCGGGAAGGCATGCTAGGGTTATGGCCCTAATCAGTGCGCTAGCCTGATATGCAGAAAGTCACATGACTATCCCTGAGCTGAGCTGCTTTAAGCCTCAGGCATCAGCCACTTCATCTTAGTCATTCTCCCTTATCTTCCAACTCCGCATCTGACAACCATCAACGCCTCCTCTACGTCAACTCACACTTCACATCTCAAACACTCACTGCGCAGTCTCGTCTCTAACAGGATTGACTAGCCGCACAAAATATTCGAACACACTAATTTCAGTGGCAGTCAGATATCCAACGACCAGTATGGCAGCACAAACAGTGAACGTGCTGCTTTCATCCTTCCCGGGACTTTCCCTACCTTCGACAGTCTCATTTTCTCTCCCATCCACGTCCACAATCTCTGATCTTACCGATAGAGTCTCCGCGTACTTGCCGTCGTCGATACCGCTTCAGTCTCTTGTCTTGACCACAACGGGTAACAAACAGCTTGTTCCATCATGCGAACGTTTGCTTTCTCTCTTTGCCGCCTCCAATGGCGAAGTTGCAACAACGTCGAATCTCCTCCCCCTCCGCCTGACTGTTCCCTTGCGCGGAGGCAAGGGTGGATTTGGTTCCCAGCTCCGTGCGGCCGGTGGACGTATGTCGAGCAAGCGGAAGCGCAATCAGGGGGACGACAATGGCTCCAGTCGCAACCTTGACGGTCGCCGTATTCGCACGGTCAACGAAGCCAAGGCTCTGGCTGAATACCTCGCAGTCAAACCGGAGATGGACCGAAAAGAAAAGGAAGAGCGTCGGCGCCGATGGCAGGCTGTTGTGGAGGCAGCGGAAAAGCGCCAGGAGGAATTGAAGAACGGTGGCGGAAAGAATAAGATTGATGGACAGTGGATGGAAGACAAAGAGGAAATGAACGAAAAGGCCAGGGAGGCTGTGTTGGCAGCAATGAGGGACGGAGCTTGGACGGATAACTTACGCGACACGATCCTGGGCGGATCTAGCACGAGTGCTAGTGCTAGTGAGGGTAGTGGACAGGAGACTCCGAGCGGCTCAGAGGAAGACAGCGATGAGGAACAAGACGCGGGGGATGCACCCATGCCGTCAGACTCGGCTATCAAGTCAGCGCCAGCCAGGAAGTTTATTGGATTCGATGACGACGACGACTTCATGAGTGATTCTGAAGACGAACAAACCGATCAAATTGACGATCCGAAGGGCAAAGGAAAAGCAAAGGCTTGATTTTACAAAGTTCGACTGCGGCTGTTTCTTCGAATTATCATGTTTATATTACGAGCAGGGATTCGCAAGCGTGTTTGCTTTTGAAATGTTTGTAGTCTTCGCCGAACATGAGAATACATTATTTATGGGATACCATATCGTAATTCTCTTCTTATCATAGTTTTAGTGCTATACCTGCGCTTGTAGCTCTACGTACTTCTGAACAATCTGTTTGCCACAATAAACTTTTTTTTCGGGGAGCTGGGCGGCCGCCGACGCTAAGCTATCTATCGCATACGAAGAGCCTCTCCTGAATTTCTGCAACATTTAGACAATTATCATCACCATAATGTCGCACTGTCTAAAGTGCACATACTCCAGAGCTATTGGATTGCGTCAGATATCATCACGGCGACTAACGCAGACTCTACGCCTTTCTCTACGATCACCGCCGCGAAGTCTTTTCGCGCATGCGGAGCTATTTCGCAACCGTCAACCGAGCCAGCTTTTGAGCAGAAGCCAGTTACGCAATCTATCAACCACTACTCAGTCATGTGCGGAGTCCTCTAAATCTGTCGAAGATGTACTGCCCGTCTGTTGCCCAGGATGTGGTGCCTATGCGCAAACCGTCGAGCCGAACGAGCCTGGGTACTATGGCAAGACTAGGAAACATGTTCGGAAGCTCCTATCAGAGTCCCAGCAAGAGGCAAAAGACAAGCCTGGAGGTGCAGAGGAAGAGTCTGATTTGCGGAGTGAAGCGGAGAAAGCAGCGAGTACAATACTGAAGCTGGTCGATTCCGAAGTAGCAACTCCAAAAGCTAAGCGTAAGTTGGGATTTCCGTCGATTGACCGAGGCGGCACTGATGAACTTTTTTTTATTACAGATGGAGCGATGCTCGAGGAAGCGGCGACAACTGCCAGCCATTTTTTGGAGAAATCGAGAGCGCCTGCGCAGGTGTGCGACAGATGTCACGACTTAATTCACCACAATAAAGCTGTTTCCGTACCTACGCCTACCATTTATTCGATCCAAGAATATTTGAAAGAGTCGCCTCACAGGGATAACCGTATTTACCACGTCATTGACGCTGCAGATTTCCCCATGTCCCTTGTCGACAATATTTACGATGCCTTGTCTATTCAAGAACCACGCTCACGAAACCGAAGAGCCTCGACGGAGAAGTACCGAGGAGGGAGGAAGTTACCAACGATATCCTTTGTCATAACACGCGCCGATCTGTTAGCGGCGACTAAGGAACAAGTTGACTCAAAGATGGAGTACATGCGATCGGTTCTCCGAGACGCCTTGAAACTGTCCACGGAACAATACCGGTTGGGCAATGTACATATGATTAGTGCTCACCGAGGCTGGTGGACTAAACAGGTGAAGGAGGATATCAGAGAGCACGGAGGAGGTATTTGGGTAGTTGGCAAGGCCAATGTCGGGAAAAGCAGTTTCATCGAAGCCTGTTTTCCGAAGGATTCTAGGAACCTGGAGAAGATTGCAGAACTGGTTGAACGCCGGGCGGCAGAGTCAGATATCAACCAATTCAAAGATGTCTCATTGGGTTCCGACAGCCTACTGCCGCCTGCGCCTCGAGAAGATCTCTACCCTGTCCTCCCCGTCGTCTCGTCCGTGCCAGGTACCACTGTCTCGCCGATCCGCATCCCCTTCGGCCACGGTAAAGGTGAAATGATCGACCTGCCTGGGCTCGACCGCGGTCAACTGGAGAACCACGTTCGTGATGAGCACAAACGCGATCTCACCATGACGAAACGGCAGAAGCCTGAGCGCCACACGATTAAACCCGGGCAATCGCTGCTTCTCGGAGGAGGTCTCGTCCGAATAACTGCTGAAAACCCGGACCATATCCTGATGGCGGCTTGTTTCGTTCCCATCGAAGCCCACGTTACCAGAACAGAGAAGGCCGTGGAGATGCAGGCAGGACAGCGCCCTTATCCCGGCGAGCAGATTATGAGAGACGAAGCTACTGCTTCGATTTCGTCTGCCGGACTTTTCGAGTTGAAATGGGACGTGACTCGCTCGCACCTGCCGACCTCCATCGCCAAGGCAGTAGAAGACCATGGTATACCAGTACCTCGACTCCCGTACAAAGTGATGTCGACAGACATCCTGATTGAAGGTTGTGGATGGGTGGAACTCACCGTGCAGATTCGAGCCAGTTCAAAGTCGGAGGAATCGGAGTCCTCGAGTTCCGTGCCTCGAGTTGAGGTCTTCAGTCCTAACGGACAGCACATCGGATCGCGGCCTCCGATCGAATGTTGGAATTTCATCGCCGAGAAGCGCGCTGCTGATAAGCGCAAGAGTCCTTCCCGGGGACGACAGAACGTTGGTCTAAAAAGACGAGCGCAGCAATCCTGATAGTAGGTAGGGTATGTGTTCAATCTGTGTCCTGGCTTTATGAACGATATGAAGCCAGCTTGGCGGTTTTGTATAGTATAGCATAGCGATTGGTGTTCATGGGCATAGAGGGCATCGTCAAAATTTATTGCTCTCCATTCTGTACGATACTCGATATACTAAAACTCGATGTATATAGACTACCTAGATTCAGATTAGGGCCTATATGTCATTCCAGTAAATCATTCGTTGGGAGACTTGCTGGTACTGCTTTTGTAGCCTTCGTTCTTTCCTTGTCTCTGACGGGTTGATGGTCTAAATTTTATCGCTCTATAAAGAATGGAATGATATGAAACTCGCAGAAGAAATCATCAATAATTGTATTTGATCGTGAAACCGCGTATAGAAGCTCGGCCTATATCTAAACGGAGGCAAATATAACAGTAGAAGGATATTGCACCCATGTCTACTCAGCGATATTGGTAAAGCCGAAGGTGGGCTGACCAGGAACCGCATTTTCAGCCGACAGACCTTCTCTCTTCTCACCAGTGCCCAGCACCTCACCACTCTTGCCACCTTCGTCAACAGCAATGACCTCGATCTCCTTGCAACCAGTCGTCCGCTTCAGGTTACCAAGCATCTCCTTCAAAACAGCAAATTCATCGAAGGGAAGCTTCCGCGAGAAAACGTTCTCAGGAGCCTCCTTGGCCTTGATCAAGCGGCTCTTCAGGGTCTGGACGAAAGGCATAGCCTTCTTCATCTCACCCAGCTTGCCAACCTTGGCGTTCAGCTCCTTGTCGTCGATAGAGAGACTGACAGCATCGAATGCTTCCCGGACAAGGTCGATGTACTTCTCCTGCCAGGCAGGGTACTTCTTCGCGGCGTAGATGGTAAGCTTCTTGGGCTTGCGAGGGTCGAAGAAGATCGCCTTGCCCTTGGAAAGCTTCTTAACGAATCCAGCCTCAGCCGATGTGATGCTAGAAGAGGTGGAACGAACATAGTTCAGGGCAGCCGAAAGCTCAACGGATGGCTCTGGGACCTCGGGGAAGCGAGCATAGTGGATTGTCTCGGGCTAAGAGGTACCAGATTAGTCAAGATACCTTAGGTCATCTGATTCTCAGATATACGAACCTTCTTCAGAACCTCGAGCCAGATGTATTCAGCCCAGTGAGGGGCAATGGGAGCGATCATCAGAGCCTGGAGCTCAACATAGCGCAGGACCATGTCACGGTGCATTCCGACACCAGCCGAGACTGCGGCCTCACGGTAGACGTCACGAGCATTGGTCAAGTCGAAGAGAGCGGATTTCAGGGCGAGCTTGAAATCGGTACTGAGATGAGTTTAGCCATTGAAAGTGCAATATAGAGGATAATCAGAAACTCACCTTTGGTAGTGCTTGATGGCCTCGCGAACCAGGCTGTTCATCTCATTATCGAACAGCTTGTCCCAGAACGAGTATGCGGGACCTGTGCGCAGGGAACTGTCCTTGATAGTCTCCTCAATCCATTCCTTGAGCGTGAAAAGTCTGAGAATATTGCTGTTTGCGACATTCTCGTCGAAGTTGGCGTCTTCGATTCCATCACCAGCATCGGCGAATGCAATACGAGAGGCGTCAGCACCGAACTTGTCGACAGCATCCCTAAGTGTAAGGAAGTTGCCCGTGCTCTTGCTCATCTTGTCTCCGTTGAGGAGTAAGTGTCCGTTTGTACGGACGCCGCGAGGCCAATATTCGCGTGGGAAAAGCGCGATGTGAATGTAAAGGAAGAAGGTCAGATGGTTCTGAATGAGGTCCTTGCCGGAAACATTCACATCCAGAGGGTACCAGTACTCGAACTCTCTACGCATCTTAAGCAGAGCATCCTTGCTGATACCGCTTTTTGCGATGAGCTCGTCGCTAAGCTCACGTCTCGTGAAGATATAGTCCCAGACCTCATCAATCATCTGCTCCGGCTTGAGGTTCAGCAGACCGGGCGTGTTACCATAGCGGTCGCTATGCAGGTAGTGAGCAATGGTATAGTAAGCCATGTAGATGGTACTATCACTCAAACTCTCAACGAGGAATTTAGGGTCCCATGGGAGCTTGGATCCCAGACCGTAGGTTCTAGCACAGGCCCATCGATTCAGCCAGGTTAGGTTCTTCTCGAAACCGTGCCTGGTCTCAGGCAGGTACGTGTTGAGGTTGTTGACGACATAATTCAAGGTTTCCTGCTGCCACTCCGCGTCATTCTCTCCGTAGTTCAAGAACCACTGACCAAGGTAGGCAACGACACAGTCATCTCCACTTCTGCTGACAACCTTACCCATAGGATCAGCAAAGGGGAAGGCGTCGCCGCTGTCGTAGAGGGACTTGCGGATTTTCTCTTTGGCGGCGCTCACTGGCTCGCCCTTGAATTCACCGACCAACATAGTGCCCTTGTAGTACGCTTCACCGTACGCCAGCTCCTTGGCCTGTGCAAGTTGGTTGACATCTTTGGGAGAGTTGATCTTGAGCTGCTTGACAAGCGCAGGGGCGGTGAGGTTACCGTATGTCGGGGTCTCGATGAGAGGGAAGATCTCCAGCTCGGCCCATTCCTTCTTGATGCCATAGTATTCGGGTTTCTTGGCAAGATCGAGCAAAGTAGCATAGTCGTCGGGGCTGTCCGAGGGGACTGAGGTAACGACGCCGGTACCCTTGGTGGCAGAGACACCCTCCATAGGCAGAATGCGCACACCCTCGGTGTGGAACGACAGTGGGGCGTTGACGAGGGTACCCACGAAGGCGGAACCAGGCGCTTCCAGGACGAGTGGCAGCTGGTCTTGCGTCTTTGGGAAGTGTTCGTTGTCGAAGAAAATTCCCTGGAAGGCCATGTTCCAGGCCGCTCTCTTGGTCACGACGTAGTATTCCTTCTCCTTGACCCTGAAAATTCCGTACTTGATCTTGGGACCGAGGAAGCAGCAAGTCTGTCCGTACATTGTCTCTGGACGCAGAGTGGCAGGCACGAAGTAAACCTTGGCATCGTCCTCAATCTTTCCCTTGACCAGCTCAGCGATTTCTGGGGCCCACTCCTTCACTTGCAACTTCATCGCGGTGTATTCTTGCGGACCGATACCCTCACCCTCGGTGCGGTCATGGTCCATGCAAGGCTGGCCATCTTTCGGCGAATAGATAGTGTAGCGGTTGCCGTACTGAATCTTGCCGAGCTCGTGGAGGCGGTTCATCTGCCAGCGGACGAAAGTGTCGTAGTAAGGATTAGCGTCGGTCGTGACGAACTCTCTGCGCCAATCCATTCTAGCACCGAGGCTCTCGAGGTCACGAATGGCAAGGGGTGGGAAGTGGTGAAGCCAATGGTCAGCGTCGGCGAACTTATGAATCTCCTCAAGAGGCATGCCGATGGCCAACATAATCTGAAACTGATACTTCATCTTCACGGTCTTCGCAGCGGCCTTACTTTTCTTTCCGGAGAACTTCTCTTGCTCAGCCTTGACTTCCTGTGTAGGGGCTGCAACTGCAGTGGGGTCCTGCTCCTCGCTCCCTTCGTTGTAGCCTTCGAAGTTCTTGCCGAACTTCTCGACTTCGTCGGCAAGCTTGTCCGCGCAGGCCTTGATAGGCATACCCGTGCAGTGGAATCCGAGAGGGAAAAGAGCCCTCTTACCCTCCATGCGGGCAACGCCGGTCATGAATTCGATTTTACTAGCCGTGAAACTGTGACCAGCGTGAAGAGTACCGTTCATGTAGGGATATGCCATGGTTCCGAAGAACTTAGGGTACTTTTCACGAAGCTCTGCGCCCGACATGGTGCTGGCAGGAACCTCTGAGAGAGACGGGGCATCGACCTCGAACACTTTCTTCTCTTTCCATTGTGCCTGGTATTTCTTCTCGATGGCGATAAGAGTGTCTCTCTTCTCGGTCTAGATCGACAAGAAACAATTAGCTTTAAATGCACACGGAAATGCTCAGTGAGGGGGAGGGGTAATAGATTGTACGAACGTTTTCGAGCTTAAGAGTATTCTTGGTGCTGTTGCCCGGATCGAGCGCAGCAGCGGATGCAGCAGCGGCTGCCATGGCTCTCAATATTGAAGTCTGCTGTGGTGCAAACAGAAAATGGGAGAGCCCTGAGGCGTGGTTGTGGAGGTCAATCACTATTTATCCACCGCGGGGTTTGGCTCTATCGAACGAAATTCTCGCGGGCCATTTGTGAGTCAAAACGGCGTATGTAATGGCGGTGACAGTAGTTGTATTTATCGTGCACGTGCCATTTGTCTGCTTTAGGTGGAGCCGGGAGGTCAGAACATCAGATCAAATGGATGCTAGCTGTACAGATAACAGTTGTACAGTAGTATAGATCAAATAGATGTTCTTGTGCAGCTTATCCGAAAAATGGCAATGCAATGGACGAATAGTCTTGGAAAAGCTGGGGTTTCTGTGTTGAGTCACTGGCATAACTTCCCTGTGAACAAGGCTGAGTCCAAAGCAAAGACGCCTTGAGGATAGCAAGGAGCAAGCATGAACTGACATGAGTCAATTGAGAATCTACAAGTGGTAAACTTCTTCAAGCTAAGAGTCATTGACTGCCCATGCTTGACAAGACAGCATCAATTCTTGTATGAAGTTAAAAACACTATAGGCTTATCTATGAAAGTCACGTGAGCGTATACCGGAGCGTTTTCTTTCCGCCATGCTTCCAGAAATTGAAGTCAAGCTTCGAGTCAGAACTCCCTTCAGTCCCCGCTGGTACGGAGTAGTAGTTGAGGATTGATTGTTACTTTCTCTTTGGTATTGTTAATATCTCTATCTAATCTCACCTGTCACAAGGATCCGGTCCTTGTGCGCTCCCACAACTCTCAAGATGGTGAATCTGTTCAAGCGGATGCGGAAGTTGAAGACTGTACGTGGACCGGCCACTTCGCTGTTTCTGCTCATTGAACCATTTTGCTGACCTAGAATTTCTAGAGGGTATGAACCGCTACATTCTCCTATATACATTCATTTTGGGGTCCTTCGTATCGCGAGCTGGTTGCAATTGTAGCCTCAGCTGCGTTCCCTTCCATATAACAAACCCACCTTCCTGGGGCCGAATAAATCATTCGCTAATTCAATTCGATCGTACAGATCCTCAACGTCCGCGTTGGAACTGGCGCTGCAATCCTCCCAGCTGCCTCAAAAGCAACCGGAGAATTCCCAGCCATCACCCGACTGCACCTCACATACGCCCGCAAGATCTACGGCGGCCACCAAGGCGCACGACATTTCTGGCGCAACTGCCTGCCCCGACTAAAGTACTATAACCCCGGGGTCCGGATGACCGTGAAGCAAACCGAAGAGCAAGAAGGACCCGCCGCGTTAACGATATACTTCGCCGAGCAAGCCAGCAAAGCCGCGGCGCTGAACGCCTCCCAGGTTCAGGACAAGTACGCCCCTGCGCCATCGGAGACAGAGAAGACGGCCGTCGTTGACCTTAAGAACCTCGATTACAAGGAGATCTGGAATAAGGTCAAGATAATGACGGGGGCGGAGGAGCTGGAGGCGACTGCGGAGGAGGAGGCCGAGCTGAAGAAGCTGGAGAAGATGCGTCAGCAGTCGGATAAGGACCGCGCGCGGGTGAGTGGTATCCGGCAGGCGAAGAAGGACCAAGAGCGGATGTTACAGGAGGCGAGAGGCGAGGTGGAGAAACTGAGGCAGTTGTAAGATATGGTTCTTTGGGTGTTTGTTTTGGAGAATGTTTTTTTCTTCGCATTTCGAGGTCTCTGGGTACATAGCTCTGTTTTTGAGATGGGTTCTGATTGTGGGAAACCGACATCGGCATGATCAATTGTAACATAGCCTTTCTTTTATTTTCGATCATGTAGTTCTGGGAAAACTCTTCTTACAAGATTATCTTGAGAATGCTTGGGAATATTTGGATATACGGATGACTCGATTTGAAGATGAGAGAAATCTCACGACTCATGCTCGTAAATTACCTCGGTTTGCGTATCAACTTGTCTCAGGCTCGTTGCGCCCACGCCATATACATCATATCGACTGAGCAGGTTCATCACAAGAAGTGACAACATAAATAAGAACATTAGTACGGGAGAACCCGCCAGCTCCGGAGAAAGCATATTAGTCCCCTCCGTAAAAATCTGGTTTCACTACATAGGGGAAATTGCACATGCCAAGCGCTTGTGATGGTGCAGATGGTTGAGAAGTATGAAAGCTCACTTCTCCCGAATCTGATTTTTCAACATCACATGGGAGATTGGAAACTCCAGAGAGTCACGCAAAACGACAAAATGTTTGGTTCACGCATGATCGGGCGTGTAGCTTGTTTCCCCCAGCATACTCTGTCCCGTCGGGACAGCTGGCGTCGCAGGGTGAGCTTGGCTGGGTCCGGCCTGGTCCAATGTAGACGACTGGGATTGAGTTCTTCCTGCGGCGGCGGCTTGGAGTCTCTGGTCCAGAGCTTTGAGTGCCAGCGCCCGTCTTCGTTCGGCCTCTTCACGTTTTCCCGTCCCACGGATTCCTCCACCTCTTTGGTTGCTGAGCAGACTGGGCAGGCCGGCCTCACCTCTCGCAAGGACTTGTTGGTTCCCGGATGCAATGTCTTCCTCCGAGAATGGCGTGCAAATTTTTAACGCCACGAGGAGCGAATAAATCTGATCAGAAACAAATGCAATTGGCGGCTGCATGACGTCCGGAAAGAGGCAAGCGAATGCGAAAGTCTCGCTTGCATCACCCTTGATCCCTTGTCCGTCTGTCGACGTGCCCGTGAGATCTGGCTGCCGCTTGTAGAATCGCAGGTAGGACCAGCTGGTCAACAGGCCTAGCCATGCGAGGAGCGCTGCGACTTGGGTTCCGAAAATCAACCCGCTAATTGTATTGAGCAACAGAAACAGTGCAGGAAAATGTTTCACGCGCATCTTGACCAAGCCCTTGAAGATCGTGACCGTATGCTCGGGAACCAGTTGTTTGAAGGCCACGAGGAAGGACGACTGAATCGATATACCACCACATATTTGCGTTAGGCTTGGAGATGGGGAGTCAGCAGATAGAGCGCAAGCGTTTGTGCAGTCGTGCCAGGAGAAGATCTCGTACCCGCTCACTGAACTAGCCCCGATGGCGGCGCATAGTAGGTATACCAGGGCTACCACCACGTTGGGAATCACTGCGATAATGACGATAAATTTCGCGAACTCTCTGGAACCCCAAGCACGCTCCAGGTATTTCCCGCCATAGAACAGAGTAGCGGCGTTGAGAAGTACTGTAAAGATATTCTGCTCCACGAATGTGGCCGTGAGTAGGGTCCACGGGTAAAAGAAGAATTGCGATGGGACAAGGGTCAAGTAGGGAGCAATAGGTGTCGCTGTGGGTGTTTTCCCCGTCGTGTCAATTTGTCGCCATCGGGCGATGTTGTACAGCAAAGAGAGCGTGATGAGGCTGACGAGACAAGTACGGGTCGCAGGAGGAATGTTAATTCGGTGAGGCATCTTGAAGAGGAGAGCTCTCACGGCTGCTCATCCAGAGCGCAGACCGCAGGCTGTTGACGAGAGCCCGAGTGATTTAGAGATGTAGGAGATGTTGTACCGTAGGCAACTACAGAGAGGCGGTCGATCGGACAAGTGGGCGTCGGACTCGAAGATCGAGCTTCTTTGGATCGGGTTTAATGATTGGACAAAAAAAGGTGGATTTAGCTTGAGTAAACCTGACTGCTATCTATTTGATGACTCTGAGAATTGGTGGACAGTTACATTTGATAACAGATAATTGTGAAATCTAGAATTTTATGACAAGGAGTGGATAGGAAATAGTAGGTGGTGTCTGGTCTGCAAGGTGTTCATAATCCTGTCACTCTACGCAGTACACAAGGGATGCTCGTCTTACCCGCACAATGAGGATACAAACCCACGCAAGTATTCGGCTCATTTCAAATTGCATGCAGTGAAAGTGTCTGCCGATATTCTCAATTGTCGAGTCTTCGCCAAGTTTTTCATCGAATTCTCAGGGACCAGTGGATGGAGCAACATGGATGCTGTCCATGATTCCAATTGCACCATCCACCTTTGCCGGTTAATACATGATGTCCTTTGCGATCGTAGAGATATATTTCGGGAACGAAATCTCAAGTCAGTTTACTTCTTGTCGAATGACCAGCTCATCGATTCCCGTTCGCAGCTAGCCCTCTTTTCTCAGGACGAGTACTGTTGAGGTGGTTCTTTATCAAGTTCCAGAGGGAGTCTTCCAAAGCGTCAACTGGGCACCTCTGGAAAGGCACCCGACATATATGACTTGCAGCACGGAGTACACCGTAGCATATATCAACATAAGATCCAGCACAAGCAGCAATAGCGAAGGAGATATATTGCGGGTGGTGAACCTTACCTAGATATCCGTATCGAGATGAAGAAAAGGTTTAGGCTGGAGGCGCTGACCCTAGACCCCAATGGACAACCAACCAAAAGAGAAAGAAGAAAAGACGCCCTAGACGATCATTTGGCCGTCAGAAGTTTACCTAGTTACCTTAGCTAGATACCCAGAAGCGTAAAGTCCCAAGGGGCCGGTGGGTTTTCCGACTGCACGCTATGCGCTAGTCTAGTCCTAGCCTAAGCCAGGTGGTGGAATTGTGGGCTAGACGCCACAACGAGAGACAAGCCCATCATGTCTCCATGCCTTTTGAATTCTTGACTTTTGACTTCGAACTCTGGATATCTTGTCGTTAACTGGATGGGTTAGCCTAATCAGTGACCTTACCACTCGCAGTCTGGCTGGAAGTTGAAACAGCAAGCCCCCAGACTCAGAGCCGCCTAGGTAGGCAAATACCTGTAACCCACCACTACCAGCGTCTAGTCTACCCGTTCTTCCTCTTCCTCTTCCTCTTCTTTAAAAGACGTTTGCCCTTTTGCAGTTTGCAATTTTTGTCTTGGTGGAAAGTCAGCAACAATCTGGACTCTGGATCCAACTTCTTTTTCGACGAAAGTTCCTCCACGGTGCGCGGTCCCAACCTCTGCAGTTTGCTACTAGCGGGTCTGCAATCCTTGAGCCACACGTTGCTGTCAATTCTGTTCCGTCTCATGACTCCCGTTATTATTCATTATTATTTTCATTCATCATTATTACTTCCTACTTTCCTTCAAGAGAAGAAGTAATCTTTCTTCTGCAGGTACAGTACCATTTATACTTACCTACATCTCTGCTCATTGCCACCACTCGCATTAGCTTCTCTACCAGTTGAGGAGGAATATCTGGTATCTATTACTTATTATTAGTTTATTGGTTCCTTACCTACATCTTCATTCACGAGCCCCTTCCTCATTACTTTTGTTGGCTGAAACTCATTCATATTTCCCTACATCTTCTTCTGCTTTCATCTTCTTCCTTACTATTATTCTCTTGTCACAGTCTTGGCTGCATCTGTCCCAATCGAGCCTCCTTTCTTACCTCCCCAAAAAAAAGGACTCCGCGTCTCCCACCTTAAGTTCGCCAGGGTAGGAAAATCCGCGAAGGAACCTAAGGAACCTTCTTTTTGTTTTACTGGCCCACCCAGTCAATCCTTCGGATCTTGAATCTCTTTAGCCCCATTCTCCCATATTATTACCGCGACATCTTTTGATCTTCTCCTTCTTCTCCAGTTGAGGACCTTTTTGTTCCGGATCTCTCAGTCCTGGCATGCAAGTGGATTCTGCATCTAGTTGCTTTGCATGTAACAATGGCACATCCCGACCTCACATCACATCACGTCAATTACCTAATATGGAGGTATGTGCTGATTACCCTTGCCGACCTTCAATTTTCGTTCTCAACCGCCACGGAATCCTACCATGACGGTGTATTTCTCCCATTACCAGGTCGCTAACACGCATTAGGTATCTTCAAGAATCAGGTTGGTGTTCGCAGCTTTTAGTCTTCGCTCTCTCGCCTATAAAACCAGATATCTCGCAAAGGTGAATCCGTATCCAGATATCTTGATCTAACTTCGTATCCAGGCCATGGTGAAGCTGCAGTGACGCTGCAGCGCGCATGGAACCATGATCCGCAGAGCTTGCCGTTTGCTCCCTACATCCGAACGCACGCACTGGTATCTCTAGTTCAAAAGGGTCTTCAATATTACGAACTCGAACAGTCAATTGACAAGGTATGTTTCTACTCTTGAAAACATTCCGCCTTTGTAAATCTTTTGGTCTTCCTCAAGATTTAATGTCGAAGATATCTAATCTTGCTTACAGGATGGGAATCCAACACCATTCACACCTTCAAAATATTTCTTCGGACCGGTGTCGCTAGAGCTAGAAACGCAAAAAAGTCAAGCTGGTCCAGAAGAGGCGGGTACTGGCACTGACCAAGCGCCTGTCTCGTCTACAAGCAAAGCCGCGCGAGAAGGCGGCGTGAGTAATGGTCACCTGATGGCCGAGGCTGGCGGCCCCCAAGTACCGCCCGCTACTGTCAAAAAAGCTCGGAAAAGCGATCGCGGAGAAGTCAACGGGGATGAAGTTCCTATGGATGTAGACACTAATGGCGTGGGAACAGAAAAAAAACTGACTGTCGCAGCGTCGCCATCGCCCGCCGAGATAAACGTGGATGGGGATGGTGACGTGAACATGGATGTACGACCAGACCTGCAGGAGCAGGAAGCAGCCGCGGCGCCAACCTTCACACTGACAACGGGCCACAGCGTGGGCGTCCAGATCACTCCCGCCAAGGCCGCTGACCTCAGCCCGAACACCACCATTCTGGATGTGGCTGGAGATGACCACGTGACACGCACGTTGTGGCGGCCCAATGATCCCACCACTGTCATTGCGGCTGGGGATACGTTCTGCAGCTTGTGGAGGTTACAATCTACCTCTTCCGGTCCGGTGCAGGAGAAGTTGGTCGAAAGCAGAGGGGATGGCAATTGCGTCTCGGCCGTTGCGTGGCACCCCAAAGGCCACAAGTTTGCTGTAGCCACCTACAACGACATGAGAGGCTCCATCACCATGTACGATGTGGCTGGAAACGCTGTTGATCTCCTTCCAGAAGTACCACGCATGATTACTGGACTTCATTGGGCCGACAATAGCTCTCATTTGATTGTGGTGGCATCGGATAGCAAGATTTCCGAGCTTGCAGTTTGGGATGACTCATTGCGACCTGATGAGTTTCCTTCACCTCAAGTGGTTGATGGTTCAATCTATGACCTTAGCTGGCTCGGGCGCAAACAGGCCTATGCCAGCGGCCATGGCGTAGTTTACCAGTGCGATGTGGACTCCAGCATTCGTATTGCCAAGACTTTCTCATCGCGTGAATCAGACAGAGTCTGGTCCTTCGTTCGCTGTACCAATGCGGGCTCCTCGCCTGTGGCAGTGGCTGCATCTTCTGATACTGCCGCGTTCTGGGTGCCAACGCATGATATGCACCTCGACGACGCGCACCAAGGAGATATCACGTCCATTGAGATGCGTCCTCATCCTGAGACGTCTGAAAAGACCCAGCTTGGCCATTCTGTCGTCCTTGCCTCCGCATCCACCGACGATACAGTCAAGATCTGGCAAATTGACCTAGAAGCCAAACGGTTTATCTGCATTCATCGCCTGGTCCTCGGACACTCAATGCCAGCACTGGCCGCCTGTTTCTCACCTGATGGTTACGCCGTTGCTGCTGCCAGTCGCGACAGATTGTTTATCTGGAATGCAGAGAGAGGAGGTACCGCCATGGCTACTTGGGTCGTACCCGGCTCCGATAAAGCAAAGACAGAAGGAGAAGCCGATCATGCTGTCAATGGACAAAACGGGAGCGTGGAGTCGCTGCCAGATCGTTCCCTTTCGTGGGATACCGATGGTAAAAAGCTTGCATTCGGCTTCGCAAAACAGGTATGCCTCTTATCTCTTGTCAATTGCTGAACCACATACTCAAGATGCCAAAACAGTTGGCACTGATCAATCTACAACGTTGAATCGACCGTCCATTGTCAACGTGCGGAGAGACTTCGTGGCTCGACGTCCGCAAGACTTTTCAACCCGAAAATAAGCTCATGATAGCATATCTTCAGTGTCCAATTGTGACGATCGCAGGTTGATGAGCTTGCTACCACCTCCGGCAATCAGTGAGGATAGGTGGCCTCCCACTGGTACGCCCACTTTTTCAACGACCCTTTTGAAGATCTAAGATACCTCCGCAGTTCGCTGCATAACCAAGTCTGGCTACCATGATTTCAAGCTTGACCGCTGGCGACAATCTACGAGTATCTATTTCACCCATTGTGTATCATCTATACTACACTTATACCCTGATAGCATGAACTACATGGTGCATGGTGGCTCAGCGTTTTCTTTCGGATTATGTGGCTATATTAGGGTGATTGGCGCACTGTCCGGTCGCGGTTTATTTTTTATTTTTTATTTTTTTTCCCCCTTCTTCGACGCAGGTAAATTTGTCTTCGCGAACTTCGATCTCAGAGGGTCCCACAAGTGCCGTGTTCTTGGATGTCTGCGAGCTGCTGTCTTTGTCTACCTTCCATCCTCAACCTGCGTTCTCTTTCTCGCATGCGATATGCTTCTTCGACATCTCTCCATCCGCGCGTCCAAGCGCGTATACCTTCGAGAAGTGCCCCGTTGGTCTCCTCGTTGCTTTTTTCGCTCTTACGTCGTATCCATTGCCTCCGCCCACTCTTCTGCGACCTGGACGCGGTCACCTGATCATGCTGTTCCTGCCAAGCTTCAACCCAGCCGACCAACCCACTAACTGTACCTTGAAGCCCTTCACGCTCCGCCGTCTCTTCCCAGAGTTCCGTCTGCCTGCAGGGGAGTCAGAATAGTCAATTCGGGGCGCACGACAAGACTTTCAAGTCAGATACTGCTCACAATTCATGCACGTCATGTTCTAATACAGATACCGCCCGTGTCATCCTTCGAATTTCCCGATTACAAAGATCATAAATTTGAAGCGACTCTTCTCGGCGTTTCTTGAACTCGTCACCGAGTTCAGTAACTTCACTGAGGATGGTTGTCAGCTCCTTGATAGATGCCAGTTTTGTGCTGGAAATTCCAACATCGGTGCTATCATGACGAATGCTTGGAACATCAGGAATAACGACTTTCGCGCATTCCGTGCGGACACTTTTGGGACGGCATTTGGCAATTTCTTGGGTCAGCCCTTGGCGTGGATCGAGGATGGATTCAATGCTGTCGAGGCAGTGGCTCAGAATGGTATTTTGCTCATCTGACAAGTGCACATTTTTCGATAAGAGAGCCAATCTTGCTAGGCGGTCCGAAAACGGCGTCATCCCTTCCGCAGTCTCTAGGAGACGGGAAGGGAACTCTCCCGCAAGCTTGGGACTAAGGGTGTGATTGTGATTCGCTATCAAGTACGGATCACACGCGTGGATATCGGGAATTGGGTGTGATGTCTCCATGGCATTATGATTCGTTGTTTGTATGCATGTACTGTGGTTCTAGACGTACATAAGGGAATACGTATTTGCCGTTGGTCCAATCCAATTGCTAGATCTCTCGTACGAAAACGCAAGGGGAAGCCGATTGATACCCTGAATCAAGTCCGCTGATCTGGACAGAAAGGTCAGCTTACGATGCTTGAGATGCTGTGCGGCGCGAAGGCAGACTTGACGGGTATTGCCAAAAATCGAACTTGAATAAACTCAGATGTAGTTGAGCTTCATCGGAGACAAAAGGAGTTTGCAGTAGGGGTGAAAATCACAGATATGGTTGATTATGGAAAGTGCAGTAAGAAAATAGACGGTCAGTATCTGAATCGTCAGTAGCGCTAGTTACCTATGACTACTTAAACTTTGTCACTGTGCGTCAAGGCTAGATTACTCAAGCACGCCCTTTTCGACTGACCGGACTTTGAGACTTATTTAAGCAGAGATAGACCTATTCACCCTTTGAAAGGTTTCGGCGCATCTTTTATGACCTCTTAAAGCCTCTAATTTGTATCAGCTGTTGAAAAGTGCTGTTGCTGGCATACTTCATACTACTCATCCACTACTATCGGCGGAACAGTGATTAACTCCGTGCGCATATTTTCCCCATCGGCTGCCCTTTCATCTCCCCGCACAGAGCTTTTTCCTTTCGACACGCAAGCCCATCAGAATTATCTCCGAGAGGATGGCGCCCTCAGTGAGTACATACTGTTCAGACTAGCTTTCTTGAACTTGGTTTTTTGCTGCCTATTTGCGATCCCTATCGGTCCCAATTGCTAACGACTCTCCGGTGACTCAGACCACGATTGTGCCGTCCCTTGAGACAGCCAGAGATGTGATCAACAACTCGAAAACTGCAAAATACCCTCCAAATCTACTCCCGTTGACTGCGAGTATACCTGCCGATCTTTTGACGCCCACATTGGCTTACCTGAAGATTGCTGAAAAGTGAGTCGCGGACTGTCTGGCGGTTTTGGTATAGCGGACGGAGAGCGCTGACTGGGTTGTTTGATCGACGAGTAGATCGAAATTATCATTTCTCTATGAGAGTGCTGCTACTACTGAGACAATCGGAAGATATAGTTTCGTCGGCGCAGGTACGGGGTTATTTCCCTGAGACCTCCAAAGAGTGTAGGCCTTTTCGCTGACAAGTCTTCGTCGTGTTCCTACAGACCCCTACAAAGTTCTCAAGACAGGTCCCGGCCATGGCCCCGAGTGCGATCCTCTCCCCATCCTTGAAAAAGAGCTCTCGCAGTTCCGTGTTGCGGCAGTCCCCGGGTTGATACTCCCACCGCTCACCGGAGGAGCCATCGGATATGTGGGGTACGACTGTGTTCGATACTTCGAGCCCAAGACAGCTCGGCCACTCAAGGACGTGCTGGGAATTCCCGAGTCGCTTTTTATGATGTTCAACACTATTGTCGCCTTCGACCATTTCTTCCAGGTCATCAAGGTCGTAACATACATTCCTATTCCGAGCACTGATTCAGAACTTGAAGCGGAATACCGTAAAGGTCAAGAGACGCTCCAGCAGACCATCGACTTGTTGCTGAGGCCAGAGTGTCCCCTCCCACCTCAGGGCCCGATCATTCCGAACCAAGAATATACATCGAACATCGGTCGGGAAGGGTATGAGCGGCATGTGACCAAACTCAAAGAACATATCTCCAAGGGAGACATCTTTCAAACCGTGCCGTCGCAGCGTCTGTCGCGTCCCACTTCCTTGCATCCTTTCAACCTCTTCCGTCATTTGCGCACTGTCAACCCATCACCTTATCTTTTCTACATCGACTGCGCAGAATTCCAGCTTGTCGGAGCCAGTCCGGAGCTCCTCGCAAAGGAGGAAAAAGGCAGGATCATCACCCACCCCATTGCGGGAACGGTAAAACGCGGCAAGTCTCCCGAGGAGGACGATGCTCTGGCCGCCGAGTTGAGGGGTAGTCTGAAGGACCGTGCCGAGCACGTCATGCTGGTTGATTTGGCGCGCAACGATGTCAACCGGGTTTGTGATCCTACGACAACTCAGGTCGACCGACTGATGGTGGTGGAGAAATTCTCGCATGTCCAGCATCTTGTGTCGCAAGTGTCGGGCATTCTCCGTCCGGACAAGACGCGCTTCGATGCGTTCCGATCCATCTTCCCTGCGGGGACTGTGTCCGGTGCCCCCAAGGTTCGAGCGATGCAGTTGATCGCTGAGCTTGAAGGCGAGAAGCGGGGGGTCTACGCGGGCGCGGTGGGCTACTTCGGATTCGATAGCTCGAGTGCGGACGGGGCGAACCTGGTGCCTGGTGCGATGGACACGTGCATCGCACTCCGAACGATGCTTGTCAAGGATGGAGTTGCCTATTTGCAAGCGGGTGGTGGCATTGTCTTTGACTCGGATCCGTATGATGAGTACGTCGAGACGCTGAACAAGCTGGGCGCCAACATTCAGTGCATCAAGGGTGCCGAGGCCAAATATTTGAGCATGGAGCAGCCGTAGAAGGAGATGTGTTTTTAGGGTTATTCAAAAGTGAGATGACTGACGGATATGATGCATCGGTAGATACAATTGATCGGGGTTTTCGTCATGTTTTCAAGCATGTCAGTGCTTGTTGTTTTGAAGTCAAGCCGACTTATTTGTTCTTCGGCCTCTGTTATCTCTTCGCTTCCGCCTCAACTTCAAGATTACTTTAGATATGTGACAGATCTACCATAGAAATATGCCGAGGTTTCCAGCATCGTAAGTTTCAGGAAGTGTTCCAGAATCCAGGAACTAAACTGACTCGGCCTATGATGACGTAGATGGAGGTTTTGGGCATCTTCGCTTTCATTTCACAATCATGGACGATGTGATGCACCGCCACACCTAGACAAAAATCTACTATACTACATAAGCAGAGTAAACAGAACGGCTGCATCGAGAATTTTTTTGAACCAAGGTAGAAATGCTGCATCAGTTATGGCTCATGGTTCTTCATCGACTGGTTGATGATGCCAAGTCCAAGTCGTACGCGGCCGCTTTGCCACGAGAAGTATGACAGTCTCGGAGTTGACGGGAGTGATCTTCCATTGTCTACGGGATATGCGGTGTGGCTGGGTAACTGCCCATGAGGAATTTGGGTATCCATGCTGGGACGATGAATTGTGTAACTAATAGTACAGTTAGTGTGAGCAAATGATAGCAGGGTGTGCTTTGGTGATCTTGAATATATGGAGTAAGTTGGTAACGGATGATATTGACCAGCCACTGCTTGGATATGGCCGTATAATAACATGAACCCAGAGAGTTGAGAGAACCAAGTAGATAGGGAGATATCTAGGTAGTAATCAAGGTCACTCTCACTGCCTTTATATAACTAGCAATTATCTATATTAATTAGTCTGTCTGGCCACTGCCAACTTCTTCTTACTCCGCACTTCCGTGCTGCTGCCTTCAAAACTGATATACCAGTAGTGCTTGACCTCTTCTACCCAAGACTCTTTGCTTCTTTGGGTCCTTCGCCTTTCCTCTCGACTTTGCTGCAGGGTTTGAATTCGTCAATCAATCCATTGCCTCCATTCTGGTTCTCCTATTGTTGCTGTTGTGCGATTGAGAGTACATATATGTCTTGAAACCCAAAGCCTCACAAGGTACGGATAAAAACACACCCTTTCTTTGACCCAAGAATGGTTATTCCGTTGACACTTTTCAGAACTCAAATCACAAGCACCCAGTTCGTCTCATTGACATTCTCGAAAAGTGCTGTATCCTGCTGTGCGTAGAGTGCTCGTACTGAGGCCACTGCCACCGCCGCCCAATTCGTCATAAGAATCTTGCCGGAACCGACCCAAAAGGGCCAAAATTGCTGACCCGCCCGGCTCCCCTCTCTCCTCTTCACGCTTCCTCCACGTTCATCGTCTATTTCTCTCTGCTTCAGTCCGGAGACGCTGGGGGTCAAATAATATATCCTCAGACAAACTTCCTCTATCACCCGATCGCTTCCTGCTTCTTGACCCTTTACCTTCGTTATCCAGCGCCGACTCTCCGCCTGCCAGAATCATAGCGGCGCATTGACTGAAATCCCGCACGCGGCTTACATACACCAGCGCCTGTCTAGCTTGGGCCGTGCGATAAGGACTAAGGAGACGACGACCACGCCAACTCTCTCTACGAGCTATCCAAGAACAACTACTTGGTCACGTTCCAAGACACTTCCAATATCGTCTTATTCTTCCATCATCCGACATCAAATCATTCCAATCCCCCGGACCTACAGAAAGGCGAACGATTCGCGATCTCGGCGCCTCGTTTCCCCGCAAGAATCGAGACTGCGCCAGTGTTGAATATCTGGAAACCAACCTCCCTCTCATACATAGTTACCGTTCAAGATGTCGAAAGTTGTCCGCAGCGTGAAGAACGTAACTAAGGGTTACTCTTCAGTACAAGTCAAAGTTCGAAATGGTATGTCTTGTTTGTTTACTCCCCTTTCTTGCTTTTCCTCTTTTCGCCTCTTTTCCTCCGTTAGGCCTGGAGGGGCGACCATAAGATTGCTATCGCTCACTTCGTCGCGACATGCCTGTACTTTTCCATTTAAGCTACTCGTACTGACCTAATTCAGCGACGAGCAACGACCCTTGGGGCCCGACAGGCACCGAAATGGCAGAGATTGCTGCCATGACCTTCAGCAGGTACGATTCCGTTTTTCTTTCAGGATAACCCGGATTCAGGCTGACGGATACGACTAGTCCGACAGATTTCTACGAGATCATGGACATGCTCGATAAGCGACTAAACGACAAAGGCAAAAATTGGCGCCATGTTCTCAAGTCGCTGAAGGTATTAGATTATTGCCTTCATGAAGGATCCGAGTTGGTTGTTACGTGGGCCCGAAAGAATGTCTACATAATCAAGACGCTGCGCGAGTTTCAGTACGTGGATGAGGACGGGAGGGATGTTGGCCAAAATGGTAGGTGGTACTTTGATGAGTGTTTGCGCGACCAGGCAACCCTAT